GAGATTCTAGACATTCCCAGTGTGGGATATGATGATTACACTAGGCAAAGGTGGCCTTGTCTGGATTCTCTTCCTACTGCACTCCAAATCACCAGAAACTTTTGTGATTTTGCAACTGCTGAAGATGTGCCTGAAGCCAGGTTTGTTCAGAAGAGTGAGATGAGGGCTGAGCACAAGGTTCTATTTGAGTTTGTGAATAAATGCTTGCTGCCAAGGCAGGAGAGAAGGCACACTGCCAATTACATGGACTTGGTCCTCATGGAGTGTCTTGTGAGAGGAATACAGATAAACTGGCCTGCTTTTATTGTCAAACTACTGGATAGAGTCATCAATGGCTCCAAAGCTCATGCCACACCATATGGGTTCCTATTGACTACTGTTCTGGAAAGGCTAAATGTGCCTTTGAAGAAGTGGGAAATGGCATCAAGCAAGGAGCACTTTGGTGTCAAGACTCTTATGGCTTGTGACTATCCAGTGAATGCTACCCCAGTTGAACCTGGTTCATCTCTGCAGACTCCTGTGAATAGCAAGGTTAGGGCATTGGTTCAAGAATGTGGAACAAAAGATGCAGAAATTGCTAGGATCCAGGCTCGTATTGCTGAACTGGAAAATGAGAGAAATGGCCTCAAAGCTGAGCTAGCAAAGGAAAAGGAAAAGAGTGAAGGGATGCTTCAGACCATGCTCAACCTTCTCCAATCCCAACCCTCTAGTTCCTCCAAGCCTTAGGTTGTCCAATTCCTATCTTTGAACCAGTCTAACCCCCCCCCCCCCCCCAGTGACCCAGATTCGGGACTTTTCTTTGTTTTTGTTGCTCATGGTTGGATGTTTTTCTTTCTTTTTGTGGTCTGCTCTATAGAAACATTTCCTAATCAATGATAATGCACTTTTTCTCTTGGTCTATGTAGCTTGTGATCTTAATAGTTAAATCTTTGTCTTGTTGATTATTGATTAACTGAATCATGTTTTCACTTGCAGTTGCCCCAGTGGCCATGAGTAATAATTAAAATCTGGGATTCACATTATAGGCAACTTTTCGATGATGCCAAAAGGGGGAAGAGATATTGTGCTTTACTTTTTATTCTGAAATAAAGTGATATTTATAACCTAATTAAACCTGGTCCTTAATGATAAGTTAGATTTCTAAGTTAAAGTGCTGATAATTAAGCTGAGTTCCACAGGTTCTCTGATCAGTAAAAGCACAGAGTTTGTCATCATCAAAAAGGGGGAATTTGTTGGCCCAAGTTCAGATGAAGTTTTGAAGATTGACAAATGAACTCAATCATGGACCAGGTTCATCATGAGAGACACAGTTGTTATCTACTTATACATGTGAGATGCACGTGAAGAAGATAAGTCTCAAGGATCAGCAACAATATCTTCTGAACTGATCGAAAAGGTTGCAAAAGGATAAGGAGATTGAGGCTCCTTATGTGAAGAGAACTAAATCCGGATCAAGAATAAGGGTTGGAGTTTGTATTGTTCTGGGAATCGAATTCGATGAAGGATCAGCAATTGAGTCTAAATCAAACTCTGATTACTAACTCTTTAAATAATTATGATTGTTCTCTTTTACAGGGGTTGCACATATGCAGAAGTTAATCTAAATTGAGAGCAAAAGAGCTAGACAATTTTGCAAGCAATTTATGTGTGATTCAAGTGTGCATTCCTGAAGCTACATGAACCAGATTGAAGAACCAATTCTATTGTGTTTATTCTTATTCTAGTTCAATTGTAGTAGGTGGTTTAAAGTTGTACCTTTCCAGCTTTCATAGAAGCAATTGTATTAGGTACTTTGAGTGTTCAAGTTAGAGTTAACTTGAAAGTGTCGCAGCAGTTGAGGCTGTGTGCCACACTGGGATTAGAGTTTAATCCTTAGGTTTACAAGAGTTTTGTAAATGCTGTTTTTGGCTCAGTGATTTTAGTGGAAGTTTGGGAAAATCCTACTGAGTAGTAGGTCGTGGTTTTTTCACCTTTTGAGCTAGGTGTATTCCACGTAAAAATCTCTGTGTTCTTTAATTCATGCACTCTTAATTCCGCAAACAGTAGTAGTTAGTATACCTAGAAGAACCAGGTTCTTCTAGAACGAAAATTGGGTACCACACAAATCAGCCCCCCCCCCCCCCCCCTTCTTGTGTGGTATTGTCGTTTAGAACATCAATTCCTAACTTATAGATATTAATATTCTTGTGTTTAACTAACTAACCAATAAATTAAAATAATAAATTAACACTAAAGATACTACAGGTTGGAGAAAAGATTAAGGAGGTCTAGAGTTATAATTTCCCCAATTGTCGGAATCCTTCCTGCTATGTCTTCTATAATTTCGCCTAAGTATTCTCTACCGATCATGAGCGCTCTGCGTGTTGTAATTCTCTCCCGAGTAATTACGACAATTTACTAGACATACTCTCCCGAGTTACGCTAGCTGGCTTTAATTACAGCTCACTTTGATCGCACCCAAGGTTTCGTTATCCCTAATCCCACCTTTAAACCCTTGGTTATTGATTCATCACATACGTCGGGAGTGATGTTGTTCAACAACTACCTAAATATGCACCCTCTCCCGAGTAATACATACTAAATAGGCACATCTAATTGAGGGTCCTTCAATCAACCACGAGAATAATATAGTTGAACAAATAGAGAAAATACTACGGCTCAATTATATAAAAACATAACAAGAATTTATCCTACAAAAGGTTCCATCAAAATCCTAGATAACAAATTAGCTATTCATAATAGTATGTAAAACTACAATACTAAAAGTCATAACCAACAATGACAAATAGGAAGAGGAAGGAAAAACTCGTAGAAGAATTCTCCACTTTGCTCCTATTGTGTCTCTTCCTCCTTAGGTCGAATCTGTGTCAAAAATATGTCCAACCCCCAAAAATACCGTTTTTCCATGTATATATACCAAGTAGGGTCGGGAACAAACTATTATACCTTCTCCTACGCGAAAAAGGATAATTTTTTCACGTCTGGACGCCCCGGCCGCGGTAAAACCGCGGCACGACCGCGATATATGGCAGGTATACTGCCTCAGCCCGCTTCAGGTCCGCGGTCGCGCTTTCAACCGTATTTTTCACCCTGTTCCATTTGGAATGTGGAAAAGCGTAAAGCATGAAAGTTGTATCCCTTTGAGTTAGCTTTCCAATCATTTATTGTGGAGCCAAAATGGAGTTCTGAGCTAAAAGTTATGTGCATTTTACTAGACAGTGCGCAATATGCCTACTCGGTTCTTCGTTTTGTTTCTCTATCATCCGCTGATCCCCGAATACGATCCCGGCTTAATTCCTTGGGATTTTACTCAAATTTCAAAGCTCTAAATTACTTGAATTCATTCAATAACATTTATATAGCTCGGAATCACTCCTACAAGGCATAAAACACAACGTTAGTGCAAAACACTAGCGATTAAAGCGCAAACTCAACTAAAGTGCAGTAAATTAGAGTGTAATAATCGACTAAAATACGTAATTATAGCATATCATCATTGTGTTAAGTGTATCACAAGTTAGTTGAATTGAAGTCTTTGTAACTAGTGAGTGACAAAGTGGCTTGTGGTAAGTGTATCACAAGTTAGTTTAGTTGAAGTCTTTGTAACTAGTGAGTGACAAAGTGGCTTGTAATAGTGTGTTTACAAGTTAGTGAAGTTGAAAGCCTACAAGTGTAGGTCGTGATTTTTGTCCCCTAGAGTTGGGATTTTTTCACGTAAAAATTCCGTGTCTCATTTACTTACTGCTTCATTAGTATTCTCAGTGGAAACTCATAGAGGACCAGGTACTCTATAGTTTGGTGGACTCATATAAACTAACAAGAGGTTTTTGAAAGTAAAGTTTGAATGAGATGATGAGGAGGTATTTATAGTTTGCAGATGACGGTTCAAAACCTATAATGGCTGACCAGCAACTGGCGAACATTTAATGCCATCAAGACGTGACTGACAAGACGCTTTGTCAGTTTTATCGTTTCTAGCACGAAGTATCGAGACGAGGATCGAGGGCTCATATAATTTCTCATCGTTTACTCTCCGAAAAACGAGGGGACTATCTGTATATGGTCGAAATCGGGCCCATCTACTGCATGATGAATCGGGACCGAAAACGTGATGGATTGAAGATCGACCCCCGGTTCCATCGAACCAAACTACAAAGTCAAACATACATCTTGAAGATCTTTGAGCCCGTCACTCCGGAACCGACCCCGACTCCGAATAAGCTCGAGGAAACATTATCCGGCCCAATAACGAAAGGCCGAAACATCTACAACCGGTCGGATATCACGGCGAGAATCTCGGCACGTATCAATGAGAGGTCGATTAATTAGCAAATTGTGAGATTTCTTACTTTTTATAGAATTGTACCTAAAGCAGGACTCCCCTACTATATAAAGGGGGTCAGATCTCTTTGTAATACACATTGTAACACGCATCCAAAAGCAATATACTGTTCTTACTAGTTCTTATTATCTTATCATTCTGTTCCGGCATCAGTTAAGGCACTTTTGACTCGAGGGTAACCAACCTTCAAGGTCAAGATTGTGAGACTTGTGTGGTTTGCATTTACTTTTCTATCATTAATTTCAATATTAATCTGATTTCTCAATTTGTATCAAGTTAGATCACGTATCCTTAAAACCGCGTATAAATTCAATTGTTATCCGATTTTGAGGGTAAACAATTTTAACTTTGACACACCCATTAAGAAAATACGAACTTCTAAAAAAAAGATGTATTCACTAAATTAACCTTAATTAATTGTTACCTCGACACATTAGAATATGTAAATAAAGACAATTTTGAAAAAATAAAATTAATTTCTTCTTGATTATGTAAATGAAGACTTATTTTGGACCAAAATAAAAAGGTAAAATGATCACTTATTGTTGACCAGCGGGAGTAATTAATTATCCAACAAAAATAATGTATACATTATAATCCCAACATTACTACTATTTGCATTACGACCCCCGACTTTACCAACATTTTGCATAAGTTGTGTATGAGCGAGACAAATACCTACTTCTTTCCCGCTTCTTTCAATTCCAGATATCCACTAACGCCGCCCTAATCGCTGTCACTAATGGCGGACAAGAAGAAACGCCGGCGAGCAGCTCACGACTCGGACTCCGATTCCGACGCCCTCCCTTTCAAATCCAAGCTAAAACCCGATTCCGTCATCCTCCAAACCCTAAAAACCCTCAAGGTCTCCTCCGCCGCCTCTTCTTCCAAAACCCTAACCCTCGCCGATGTTGGCCTCTCCACCACCTGTCGTGAAGTTACCGACCTCCCAATCGACGAAGTACAATACAATATTGGATCAGTAATGCTTAACCTCGCTCGTTCCATCCTCGCCGGCGAAGGCTTCTCTTTCAACGTCCCTTCCCGTTCTTCGGCTAACCAACTCTACGTTCCTGAGCTCGACCGCATCATTCTCAAAGACAAATCCTCCGTCCGCGCCTTCAGCAATGTGTCTACTGTCCGTAAAACAACTATTACCACTCGAATCCTTCAGCTCATCCACCAGCTTTGCACAAAAAACATCCATGTTACTAAGCGTGATCTGTTTTATACTGATGTTAAGTTGTTTCAAGATCAAACACAATCTGATGCTGTTTTAGATGATGTGTCTTGTATATTAGGGTGTACTAGATCTAGTCTCAATGTGGTTGCGGCTGAAAAAGGAGTGGTTGTTGGTAGGTTAATTTTTAGTGATGATGGTGATATCATTGATTGTACGAAAATGGGAATGGGAGGGAAAGCTATTCCTCCAAATATTGATAGGGTTGGGGATATGCAGAGTGATGCATTGTTCATATTGTTGGTTGAAAAGGATGCAGCTTATATGAGGTTGGCTGAAGATCGGTTTTATAATCGATTTCCTTGTATAATTGTGACTGCAAAGGGACAACCGGATGTGGCAACTAGATTGTTTTTGAGAAAGATGAAAATGGAGCTGAATTTGCCTGTTCTAGCGTTGGTTGATAGTGATCCTTATGGGTTGAAGATTTTGTCGGTGTATGGGTGTGGATCGAAGAATATGTCATATGATAGTGCCAATTTGACTACACCTGATATTAAGTGGTTGGGGATTAGGCCGAGTGATTTGGATAAGTATAAGATACCGGAGCAATGTAGGTTGCCAATGACTGAACAGGATATTAAGACAGGGAAGGATTTGTTGGAGGAGGACTTTGTGAAGAAGAATCCAGCATGGGTTGAGGAGTTAAATTTGATGGTGAAGACTAAGCAAAAGGCTGAGATTCAAGCGTTGAGCTCATTCGGGTTTCAGTATCTATCTGAAGTGTATTTGCCATTGAAGCTGCAAGAGCAGGATTGGCTATGAGGGTTACAGTCTGTAATGGCAGCTCCTGCATACTTATATCTTGTATGGTGAAATTTGTATTACTTGAATTTTATTGTATGGTTTACTTTTTGTTGATATCAAACTTTCATCAAATTAGAGTTCAGCTTTTGTTAACCTGGAACTTGATCTCTTCTTTTCTAAGATTGGTGTTTTCCTTTATTATTGTTTTAGTTCAGAGTTATAGTTATAGACATAGCTTGGTTTGTATCTTTTTAGTGAATGGGATGCTTTTGCTCCTCTAATATATGCAAATATAATGCACCAAGCAAGAGCATTTGGAAGTATAATTGGAATGTTATCAAACAGCTATATATATTATATGACTACAAAAATCCAAATATTAATGAGAGAGGCACCAAGAGCACAACAATCAGAACACATGTTATTTTACAGGTTGAGAGATGTCATTTTTCTTCTGTTCTGTTTACATTTTGACGGTAAAAGGTGAAGTTTTCAGCATGTGGTATTGTCAAGTATACAATGCTATTCAGTAGCTAAAAGAATAAAGATCAAAGAACTCTACAAAAAACAAGAGTTCAGAAACTTTTATACACAATATGTTTCTCATCATTCACTATAGAAGCATCTAATCTTCTTGTTAGCCAGGACTGCAGTGATTCCTTAGGTATCCTCAATTTTTGCAAAACCGCCGGTCGCCTAGTTGGAGAGTGCATATTTGCTCCTAAAATACCTCTTTGTGCATGTTCTTCCATGTTTGAACACTTTTCCAGATTGTTTACCCCATCCTGGTTTCTGTCATTTCCAATTCTTGATGTTGCTGAAATTACATCAAGTCCCAAATCATGTTGCAAAAGTTTGATTACTGCTTCCTTAACAACACTTTCTTGTCTGACAGCACGTATGCCTACTTCTTGGACTCCTAGAAAGATTTGCACGTCATCTTTAATTGAATCTCCTGCAACCATATCCAACCACAATATTGATATTTCTAAATTGAATGTGACACGATGGATCTTGTGCTATATGGACTGCTGACATGACCACAAGTATGCCGAAATGCACCATTTGGCCAATCAAATCATAGTAAAAGGCATATGTTATCAAATGGCATATAGTACTTATCAAAAAAAATCAAAGAGCTTATGGTAGAGTCCTTGGTGTAATTTACTCAGTAAGGATCCAACCCTCTCTAAAGTGAATATTCTGAGACACTGAAGGTAAAAAGGCTAGATCTTTTGAGTTCGTCCATTCTCTCACCTGCAGTGTACTTCTCTCTGATCATTCTCAAAACTGCTAGAACCACAATCCGAGCCTCAACCTGTCAGTATGCAAAATTTTGATGGGATAAATCAAGAGAACATGTTAAACCATGAAAGTCTCCAGAAAGATCAGATGGTTGTATAAGACAGACATCCTCCAGACAAGATAATGATATTTCGATAAAATGATAAGATCACAATGGCAGACCAAGAGGTGCGTTTAATTTGCTTTTTCCAGAAATCTTTTGTGCGAATATCTAGCTGGATATTATATTTACCTTACTAAGCCCACGAAGATTAATAGATACACTATTTGCATTATCCTTCTGCAAGTGTTCCGCAACTTTCTCTAGAATCATACTTTCAGGCTCTAAACTGGATCTATTGCGAGAGCTGAAGTAGCCTGTCCTCTGATTGCCATTTTGGATTACTCCTTCACACCACTGCTCAATTAGTTGCTTGAGATAGTAATCATTGGGTTTATACCTGCAATGTTTCATTTGTTGTAAATGAAGAGCATATTGAGAATATATTAAATTGATTATGTTCCTAGACCAATTCTAACCCAATGGTACAAAATGTTATCCAAAAAAGAAAAAAGAATAGAAAATATAGAAGTGACTCCTAACTAAAACTTGTACACACTCTACATATGCTGTAGAAAATAAATAAACAAATCAGAAAAGCTACTTAATGATATTAATTGGGACCATCATCCTTGTACCCTAAAACTAAATAAAGAACAAACAAGATGTCCCACAAGGAAACGGTGTCTCAACCTTCTCCACTACACCTCCACCTCCCAAGCATGGCTTTCACATACCTCCCACTGATTCGTGTCCCGTTTATCTCAAGACCCCCTTGAATTTGATCTTGCATTTTCACATTCAACACTCTCGAGCTCATCGATACAAAATCCAAAATGGAAATTGAACTAAATTCCAAGGTCAACAGCCCCACATGCACCCAGCTCCTTGACAATGCTACTTCAAGTCAATTTGAGGAGAAAAGTATAACCACAGATGACCTCACCATCAAGGATAACTTTTGGGAACGATGTTGCACTTAGTTTTTAGGGAATCAAAGGATTTCCTATCTGTTAAGGATTCCATGTGGTTCAATAAACCAAATTGGATTTCCATCGCAAGGTCACAGGAGTGAGTCTGCACTAGCAAATGGCTTTTGAAGCTGATCATTACTGCTTCAAGATGGCCAGCTTTTCTTTCTTTTCCTTTTTTCCTCGATTCTTAAACTTTCCGCTGTCTTAGTGTCTGTTCTATTTATTTTGTTTGGAGCAGGCTATGTTGCCCATTTATCCCATCACAAAGGGAAAGAAGAGCGCGGTAAATTTTTAAAAGAAAACCATAAGCAGGGATCAACAGCAAACACCCATCCTGGAATGGAATATCTAAGTTTACAATGAGACATTAGTGTATAAGAAAAGGGACATTAAGCCTAAAAGATTTCGAGTTACATACCCTGCTTTCCGCATGTCCTGATATATAGCCAAGCATTGTTGTACTTCCTGCAGAGATCCATATCTACTACGAGCTCTAAGAAGTGTATTATATGTGACCTACAAAGTGTTATAGAGGTTATAAAGCTGTATATGAATTTGTCGATGTCACATGACAGCACCCAGGTATCAAATTAACCTTATTCATTTAAAATGTTATTTCAAGCGTTCTAAAAAGCGCAAAAAAGTAGTAACAAAATTGAGGCTTAAAGCAAAAAGAGAGAAGTGTAGCGCACTCTTCTTTGAAGTGAAGTGCACAAGTTACAAGAAATTAAAAACTATCAAACATCCATGAATTTAGTACAATAAAAAATAAATTGCAACAACAATAACTCACTTCAACATCTAATATACAATAAGGCTGATATTAATTCAACTCTACAAAAGTGAGATTCAAAAAAGCGCAGGACTCTCGTTGAAATCACTTTTTGCGTCATAGTTTGAAACACTAAAGGGCATGACTCTGCCCATTAAGCAACAACAATTTGCTTCGTATTGCTTCATCACTTCAAGGCAACAAAATGATGGCTTTTAATAACATTGGTTATTTTGAAACAAAAGGTGTGAATACAAATAAAATTCAAGTAATTTCAGGTGGAAATTAAATCAATGCCGTTTTAAGTGCGACCTAGACGAATCAACTCACCATATTTGGTTTTATCTGATATCTTTTCATTGCTGCAAATAACGAAAATGCACTCTTGAAATCTTTAGTTTCCACGCAAACCTGTTAAGTGAAGAGGAATATACAATTTGTGAGTCTATAATATCAACCATATTTATATAACCATCATATAAACTGTTCATGAAGTAACGTGCCATTAAGGGAGAAGAAAGCTCAGAACCTTGATAATGGTTGTATACGTCACCACATCAGGTTGAATACCAGCCTCTCGCATGGATCTCAATATCTGCATTTGCATGAAACAGGTGTAATTCATATTGCTGTAAACAAAAAATTCCTATATATAAAAAAATTGCATTTTTATTCCTTACCTAGTTTTTATAGAGTTGTGTTTTTTGTAGAATTCTTTACGTTGTGCACACAACTCTAACTTTAACATTTACATTAAAAAGTTGGAACCTCATACTAAAGGTGTTACACTTTTGGACGAAACAAGTCATGTGCTTTGCACATGATCCATTTTTTAGCCCTTTTTCAAAGCCGAATTTCACTTGCACATCTATTCATTTGTAAATGAAGTCACCAATTGTAATCAAACCTCTAATTTGCCTACAATCCTCTTAATATAGTATTACAAGTTAGTATTTATTTTATAGATATTTACAATAACATTTATATAGTTTTTTGTGCCTTTCTAATGTAATGTGAACAGAAACACCCCCATAAGAAGTAAGATCACCGGAAATAACACTACGGCATGCTAACTGAGGGAAGTGAACTCCAACAGTTGCACATGGTGATGGATTAGATTGGTGCAGGGCATCATTTGAACAAAACGACCAGCTAAATATGATGTAACTTCCATGTCCCTGTTACTATTAGATGAAATAGACTACAGTACCTGCAGAGCACCCTCCACATTTCCTGAGCCTCCACATACGTCAATCAAAATAGACCAGCTTATATGGTTAGGAGAAAGACCTACTTTCTTCATCTCTTCCATCAAAGCTTTCGCTCGGTAGTAATCACTCCCGCATGCCTTCATCAAAATATTATAGGTCGAAGTAGTAGGTCTAAATGGAATCCTCGTAGAGAAATGTCCATGAGGTGAAGCAGAAGAGCAGTTGGGTATACTACCAGAAACCATAAGTGTGGGGGAGAGATCAATAATATTGTCTGTCTTGCTGCCTAAATCTTCACAATTATCCTTCTGCAGTGCATGTTCCTTCCAGGACCTGAATAGCCGAAAGGCCCTATCATATTGGCAGGCCTCAACACATGCATGAAGAAGAATGTTGTAACATTGTGAATTAGGTTCACAACCAGCCTGAAGCATCTCTTCAAATAACTGAATGGCTTGGTCTACCAGGCCTGCATTGGCACAGGCACTGATCAATGAGGACCAAGTAACAATATTGGGAGTGACACCAGCTGATAGCATATCTCTTTTTATTTTAAGTGCCATCTGCCACATTTTTGCATCTGCAAATACCTATGATATCAAAATAGAGAATGTGAATTTTTTTTTCCTGATAAGTCAAGTATAATTTATAAACACCACGTCGTGTCAAAAAAGTATCTACGAGATGTGTGTGTGGCTCTGCCTGAGTCATACATTGTCTTCCACCAAGTTTGACCAACTATCCATACAACATGATATTTTCTCGCTACACTAAAAATCCGACTGAACTAAAAAAAATCTTAATGCTTTTTACATCATTCTCACTATATGTAGAAATATAGAGGATGTGAATATGTAATCAAGAAAGTATCACACAGCAGCTTTACCCGGATGTGGAAAAACGATTCGGGGATAGTGAAACCAGTAAATGTGTTATCTAATCTATGGATCCATGTTCAAAAGAATTCCTCTCCTTTTTTCCTTATTATTTAATATAGCCACTTACCTCTAGTAGAACATAGTAAAATGAGATATTCAGTCAGAGAAGCACTTCAACTATCTCAAGTTTTATACTGCAGAAAGAATAAGGTGAGACTTCACAGCGTTTTGTTCGTAGTTATGGGCGATATCCTCAGACCCTACACTGTTCTTTTTTTTTTTTTTTTATTAGTTATGGGCGATATCAAGCAATGGATTCCATCCACAAGGTTTTAGACATTCAACATGGTTCTTGCTAAATTAGGAGGCCCAGTTATACCTTAATCAAAGTGCTGTATGTGAAGACATCCAATTTCAATGTTCCTGCGATTTCTAAATGCTTTAGCTCCCCATATATTTCTTTCGCCAGATCAACTCTTGTAGCAAGACAGCATGACTTCAGAAGGATATTGTAAGATGTCAAATCAGCTGGAACACCTAGTTTCTGAATGACAAGAAATGAAATGAATAAAAATGCTCCTCCTTGGTATTTTCAGCTAACAAGAACACAATTATGGATAAATTGTGATAAAGAAACAAGATCCAATGCCCAACTACAAAAATCACAAAAAGAGAGCAAAATAGGAAGAAGAAAAAAATTGAAACATTACATTTTAGAATTCTTTAATACTAGCCAAACGTCCCTCATCAGATGCATTTAAGAAACAAATTGAAGATTAAAACAAAATTCGCCCTGTGCCACTAGAAAACTAAATTTATATCATACACAGAATTTATTTGGGATAAAAAGGGAAAGGATTTGGAGGAATAAAAGGTGTATTCCCCTTATTAGGTCGGGAAGTAAGAGAGTGCTATACAGCAGTCCATCTCAGCTTCTCAAACCTCTGGAACTTAATGGAAAGGAGAAGTAAGACAGACTTCCTAACTTGGCTGTGTGAACAACTACAGGTAAACAGTGAAAACTTCACCTAATTTTTTGATCAAATTAAAATTAAAATCATAGGTTTTATTCATACAGCAATAAGACTGTGCTGGAGATCTATGCAGTGAAAATTTCACCTAATGGAACTAAATTACTTGTAAAGAGCATCTATCCCTTTATTACTGGACACTGCACCTCCTTTTACATGTGAGTTTTTCTGCATCGAGTTAAACTTGTTGATGTTGTGTATGTGTGCTTTGTGGTGCGGAACAAAGAGAGTAAGAAAAGTCTTACTTGCATTTGCTTGTATATATCCAAGGTGTAACTCAAGTCACAGGCATTTACATTCATGAGGCTATTGAAGACATAAATGTTTGGTGTAAACTTGCCAGCAATTAACCCCTGCACTGAAATTTAATGTTATAGACGCATGAATCAACCAAGAATAAAGCTGAACTACAACCAAAAATAAAAGTAAAAGATCATCCTACTTGTTCCTTTATAAGTTTGTTACATAATGAGCTCTACCTATTCTGTAAAAATGTCAAACAGGAGAGATGCTTGTTTATTTGATTATGTGTTTGATAATCCAGTGTATGGGCAGGCCAAATTATTTTATGGGCTGCGCAGGGAGAAATAAATTGATCCCAGGTAGCAGTGAGACTCGAACTTGAAAGTTGAGAACTCTATCAAGTTCGACTCCATCCCTCCCCCCCCTAATTACAAGCTCTAACTTTAATAAAAGCTTAACTTATTAGAGAAGGGTGAATTAGTTAGTTAGTTATTCAACAAATTATTTTTTTTTTAAAATAAGGAATTAGAATGAAGTCAAGGATATTCTATTTTCTTTTGCTGTGGCTGATGCACCATTCCCATGCCTCCAGACAAATATATTATTTTCCAAATCGCTTCATTACTCATAACAAGAAACTGATTCCGCAAATAAGTATTTATCAACAAAATCTTAAGGAACCGACAAGGTTTTCTTTCTCATAGAATTGGATTGATTGCCAGCATCAAGTCTTGGATCACCATAACAGGAAATCTGATTTATTTACTAGATGCACAAGTCTATCTAAGATTCAAAATGGTATACGATACCTCATATATGGACCTGGACTTCAAGTAGTCACCACAAAGACCACAAACATCTATTATTGTGCGGTAGATATACAAATTCGGTGTGTCCTGGTTCTGCTTGGATGCTTCAAAGACAGTTAGGGCAGACGCCAAATCGCCTTTCTTCCCAAATTCAAGAATTACAGTACAGAACATAATGTCCACATGTGGAAAAATATGTGCATACCTGCAGCGAGTCATGATTGAACTTACACAATAAAGACATGGCAGGTAATCATGGTTTACTCTTTGATAGTACTATGTTTAAAGCATTTCTCAATCCATATAAAACCAAGAGAAGTGAATTTCCAAGCCAAGCACAAAAGAAAAGAACAATTAATTGGATAATGAATGCAGGAAACTGACAAGTATCTGGAGCAAACAAAGTTCAAGACCAGGCAGATAAAGTGAACCAACCAACTAAACATGAAATATCCGGAGCTTCTATTTAAGTGAACTAACAGCCCTGGTAATAAATATCATTCATTTTGTGCAGGTATGTCATATCTCTGCTTTTCAGTGCCTCAATTTAATCACAAGCAATGAAGCGTAGATGAAAAAAGTTTCTAAACCATTCCTTGATCATAAAAGAAAAAAGAGTTTCTAACCCATTCCAAGAAATACTAAGAAGGCAGGCCTAAAGTATGGCTAACTATCACTGTGCCATTGACAAGTTACTTATGTTCAAATGAAGAGACTTTAGCCACCCAAAGGAAAGAATGTACAGAACAGAAAAAGTCATTAGTCTAACTACCTTTCTTGGAACACGTCTCAAAGATGGTACATGAGACGAATATTTTTTTTTTTGACATAGGTAGTATATGAGATGAATATCACTTATGCCTCATCCAAATAGGGCTGCTATATGAATCCTTTGTATCCATACTGTTATATTCAGGTCAATTTCATTCTTTTGATAAGTTCATTCAGGCCATTTTCTTTTACAACACTAAAAAGTTGTCATATAAGGCAAATTAGGAGTTCTCCAAAACTAGAAATTCTATCAAACGCCTACTTATCCCAACTAGTTGTTGTCGCCAGAAGAGATGAGCTTGAGAACAAACAAGCACCATCAAAATAATGCCAAGAAAGGGAGAGAATGGTAGATAAAGGTCCTAAATCTTGTCCTATTATGTTCCTTATTTACATTTCGGGAAGAAAAAAAAGTCTCAAACCCACAGTTTGGAGCATATCTACTACAGATATCCAAGTACCAAATTGCATTTTGGTCTTAAAACCATAATCTTTACATGCATTCAACTTTAAAGTTTTAGAACTGGTCGTGTTGGGGTCCACTTGTGTGCACCTTGACTTACTTCCTACCAGTATAGCTACCGGATAACTTTGCCCACCTACACTAAGAGATGGGAAGAAATCACGCTGTGTTTTTTCTTTCGGCTGGGATTTGAACCCAGCCTCCCAGGGCCTTTCCCACTTCATTGACCACTAGGCCATACCTTGGAGTGCACATTAGTCTATGAGTTCTAATTTCCATTAACATATGAACTACGAAGTTATCTTTATATGTACCACCTATTAGTCAAACATATTCTAGATGATTGATTACTCAATATGACCACAAATGTATAGATTCTTCTCAGAAAAAAATAGTGGGAAAACTAACAAATCTCTGCTATCAAGAATCAGATTCAAAACAATATTTCAGATAAATAAAATAAAGAAAACAGCCTTAGTGTCACCATTACAAGACATATTCGAAGAACTGCACTATTTGAGAGAACAAAATTGAGAATTTGAACAAAAACCCAACTCTAAGAGGTCTATGTGAAGATTGGAAAACCGAAGCTAACTAAGCGCATCACTGATAGAGAGTCTAAACACAATAAAAATATAGTTATTCCACCTAGATAATAGGAAAATGCATATGTTACATGCTTAGGCACATGGAGTTTGTCAAAATTTAAATATAAGAGGTGCTGCACCATAGAAAAGGACAAAGGAAAGCGCTTAATGAATAGTTACTTGTTTCATATTCATAAAAAACAACTGTTTTATTATTTATGATAAACAACCATTTTATTTTTATGCAGTCATCTCAAATGGAGCATTACGTATCAAGAACATTTCAAATTAATGCCAAATTGGAAAAGTAATACCTTATGGCTGTATTTGGCTTTCTTTGGCTGATACAAAGTCTTATAATCTCAGACGGCTTCACTAAATCCTTAATTGGCATACCACACCCTGAAGCAATAGCATATAATAAAATATAACAAAATGCCAATGTATTTATAATAATCTTCACTGCCTATTTGGAAAAAGATTTTTTGGCCGTATGCAATTTAAAAAATCTATAAACTTTAAACATTTTGCACCTTTTTAGATATATTAGATATACCAAACAAATGTTGGAATTTGAGATACAAACTCAAACACTGGTCATTTAAGCCCTTAATTAATTTAGATAAAAAAATACAGTGTAAATTATATACAGCATCAGTGTAAGGAATTTTTACAACATCATGTCACCTTTACTTTTCTTAATTTCAAGAATACAAATCTCATACTTAAGGAAGCTTTACCAGTAGATATAACTTAACCTCTAGCAAATAACACTTGAAAACACATCTGAAATCATGTATGTATACCTTAACAGTAATTGGAGCGCAATGTAAGAGCATAACACAAATATTATACCTTTAAGTGTTTCCATCAAGCTCACAACTTCCTCGATGTCACCACATTCCATAGTCCGCTTACACTCTCGAGAAAGAGAATTAATAGCAGCTCCATCGAGCAGCTTCAACGGCTCAATCCCTAGCTTATGCGCCCCCGTCAAAAGCTCGACAACGCTCCTTAGCTTCCCTTCCTCAAGCAAACGAACAATTCCATCAGAAACAATCTTCGCATTCAACAAAGCCGCAAATTCCGCCGCATTTACTCCCGAAACCACAACACTCTCCGCGATCATCAACGAATCATTGAACCTCCCATCCTGTGCTAGCTTCGACGCCAATTCGGCATAATATTTGAGACTGTGACGGCTTTGTGAAGAAGAGTCCCATCGCGGTGTAGATAGAAGTGGAGACTGAGAAGTGAGCTGAGACGGTGAATGAATGGGCTTTTGTTTGGGCTTGAGTTTGGGCTTTGGCTTAGCGGTGGCGCTGCGGTGGTGATGTGGCGGAGTAGGGGAGGAATTGGGCGGGAGAGTAATGGAAGAAGATGGAAGAATCACCAGCGCTTCTCTCATTCCTAGCCAACCGTTTTTCTGTTGGATGTGAAGTGCATTTTTAAAAAGATTTTTGGTGTTGCGCTGTAATTTTTGGTGATTGAATTTGAAAGGCGGAGGTGTTTGCATATGTTGTGTACTTAAGCCGCTGTTTGGTAAGGAAAGGATAGTAATAAAAATGAAAGAGGAATGTGGAGAAATTTTTTTCCCCTTACTATTACCCTATATTATTTTTATCCTATGTTTGGAAATTGAAAACAAGAAAATTGACTTTTTTGCAAGTTGAAACAAAAAAAAAGTATGAATAGAATAAAGAGAAAATTGTAGATCCATTATAAAATAAAAGTAACGTAGCAAAATCTATCTATTAATAGAAGGAGAGGCAGAAGCACCCTTTTTTGACAAGTGGCATCATGAATATAAAACATTTGGCACTTTAGGACATAGTTCCAAAAAAATAGGAACTAATACATTATTTGGGGGAAATAATCTTTTACAGAATACTTTTGTTAATTAAAAGTTTCAGTTATTTTTCGTTTAAGGAATCATAACGTCAAAAGCATCCTATTAGACCTCATCTTTTACAAACTAACATCTGAAGCATCCTATTACACCTCTATTTGGGGAAAAATCTCATACAAAATTCAATATTTTACTAAATATTTCAGGTAAGTTTTTTTTCAAAATAAGTAACTGTATCTACATGTGAACGTGGATACACATATTTTTTAATTCATTGTTATTTTAAAAATTTTCAGATTTATATCCCACTCTAAATTTTAGAATTTATTTAAACCAGCGCTATCTAAACCTACGCACGATCGGTAACCATCGAGAACTGCTCAAAACTGACGATGCCAATTTATGTTTCTTCCACCGATACTCTATACTTAAACGAAAGGCGGACATATATCAACAATTCAATAGAAGATAGGGATTTTTGGCTACTCACATTGATTTCATCAAGGATATAACAATTTCAGACACTACTTTCTCGATTGAATTGGTTCTACAAGATGAAAAGGTATTTAAAAAAAATTCTTACTAATTCGTTTTGCTTCTCTATTTTTTAAGTTGCAAACTGGATAGATTGCTCTGTTCTTCATATATTTTTTAACACTACTTTCTTGATTCAATTTGTTCTACAAACAGTCAAAAAAAATATTCAAATCACTTTTTTTCTTAGTAATTCGTTTTGCCTCTCTATATTTTTAAGTTGAAAATCTGGATTTGTTGTTCTGTTCTTCATACATTTTTTTAACACTACTTTCTCGATTGAATTGGTTCTACAAGATTAAAAGGTATTACAAATCACTTATTTTATCTTACTAATTCGTTTCTACTTCTATGTTAATTATGTTGCGAATTTGGATTTGTTGTTTTGTTCTTCATACATTTTTTAACAATACTTTTTCGATTGAATTGGTTCTACGAGATGAACAGGTACTTAAATTCACTTTGATCACCTTGATTCAATTTGTTCTACAAACAGTTAAAAAAAATGTTCAAATCACTTTTTGTCTTAGTAATTCGTTTTGCTTCTCTATTTTTTTAAGTTGAAAATCTGGATTTATTGTTCTATTCTTCATACATTTTTTTAACATTACTTTCTCGATTTAATTGGTTCTACAAGATTAAAAGGTATTACAAATCACTTATTTTATCTTACTAATTCGTTCTGCTTCTATGTTAATTATGTTGTGAATTTGGATTTGTTGTTCTGTTCTTCATACTTTTTTTAACAATACTTTTTCGAATTGAATTGGTTCTACGAGATGAACAGGTACTTAAATTCACTTTTTTTGTATTACTAATTTGTTTTGCTTCTCTGCTTTTTAAGTTGCAAATATGGATTAGCTATGTTCTTCTTTGAAGGACTATCGGACAACTGGAAAGGGATTAAAAATTTTGGTTTATGATGATGTGGACAATAACTACTGAAGCTTTAAATGTAGTATTTAAAGAAGTTTTTTTAAATTTAATCCGACAATTGTTGAGGAGGTACGTTTCTTCATTTTACTTTTAAACTATTTAATTACTATGATTTTCTTTTTGATGATATTGTCTTTTGTATGCATTGTTTTATTTCTTTGTGCGTCCTAACCAAAAAATTCATATCTCTTTGCAGATACGGCAAAACCACGCTCCACTTATGCCGTTAGAAAGAAGACTTCTGAAACTACAATATATACAAAAATCAGGTCCAAATTCTTTGTACGTTTATACATATATTCTTTTTAACTCAGTTATGAATCTCTGCAATTCTGGTTTTTACAGCTTTGCACGCTCTGACTAAAAAAATTATATCTCTCCAATGGCATGTTAAAATTGCAATCCGCTTATGCTGTTGGAAAGAGGACTTCTAGAACTACAGTATATTTAAAAAATTAGATGTAAATTCTATGTAGATTGATACAATATACTTTTAAATTCGGTTATGAATTTCTGGTATTCTACTTTTCACAGTTACACTTGGAAATAATACTCTTTGTATTCATGTTGAAACCACTTTCTGCTTGTGCCATTGGAAAAAGAACTTCTGAAACTACAATATATACAAATATCAGGTTTAGAATCTTTGTATATTTATACAAATGTTATTTTAAACTCAATGCTAAATTTCTGTCATTTATGGTTCTATTTCTTTTCCTCTTATGAGTAGTTAAGAAACATTTGTAGTTGGTCACTCTATGACCCGTTGAATTTACTGTTCATGATTCAGCATTTCCATAAATAAATACATCTTATTTTGAATTTACTACTTTTGGTGCTAGGATTGATGAACCAACTGGGAAAAGAGTTACTGAGGCGATTTCTGACACATTTGTAGGGCCAGTTCCCACCGTTCCATTGGATAATTCATCCTTATTGACTGCACACCATCATGGAATAGTTGTCTCATTTTCTTTTCATCCATCCTTAGAGCCTTTGCCAATTGACAGAGGATGATCATTGGTAGGCTCTTGATTTCATTGCAGTATGCTTCCATGATATCCGCATTTTTAAATTATCAATCATGATCACCTTGAAACTATACAATCATCAAACCACATGTATCATCTAAAAGTAGTAACACAATATTTGTATTTCACGTGACAGAAAGATGAGTACCGAGATTATTAGCAGATTGTGTTAGAATCATCTCTTATATCTAACCATTACTATATAAACAGAATATGCATAAAATTAAATAAGAACAGAATAGAATAGGACATAACCATTTGGCAAAAAAAACTTCTAAGTACTGAAAACTTCTAATCTTAATACACTATTTTTCAGATGATGTGTTTTTTGAAAGTGTTGACAAATGGGACTCTTTATATATTTTTTTTAAAATACAAATATGTTTATTTTTTTGCATCTTCACTTCAACGATGTAACTCCAGTAAACATATGCTTTATTATACATCAGATATAGGTGAAATAAGACATGGATGTGTTATGCTGCAACAGTTTACTGGTATTGCACTGTACACACGACTGCACTTCTATTCCTATCGTGTTTTCTGTTATTCAAACGCTCCATTTTAATCTTCCTTTTTTTTCTATCTGTTATTTCTATTCCTATCATATTTTGTGAATCATTTAAAATTTTAGGCCTTTATTTTGGAATTATTTATCGGAATAGTGGAGAAAACAAGATCTTCTTATGAAGTGCTCATAATTTGAATTCTACCAAATTATGCTTTCAACGGTGTCTTAACTCACCAAATGAAGCTTATAACTTCTCTCATGTTCATGTCTGTGGTTATCAAGTTTAAATTACTCGGTCTTTTACCAAGTTATGTAAACTTATATTCATTGTTCAGGGATAGGTTCATCTAGCTTGGTTGGAGCTTCCTGCTGCACTTTCTTTCTATATTTTCATTGCATTTGAATGTGTAATATTACCTTAATTCATAATTAGATATTTATTACATATGTAGGAACAAAGTCTTTCAAATATGATTTTGTTACACCAAAATACTTATTTATATTTTCATCTTGCCAATTGATGTTACATGTTTAATTAGCATTATCAAATTTAACTTATTGCATTTAATTTTTGTGTACAAGTAGGAGTACCAATTCTGGATTCATAATTAGTTGACAAAGATAAACGAGAAAGCTATGGGTGCTACAGTTCTATCCTAAAGAGCAATATTTCAATTAATGTTTCTATTTCTTTTCCCCTTATGAGTAGTTTAAGAAACTACTGCAATTGATCGCTCTATGACATATTGAATTCACTGGTGATGATTCTTCACTTTCATAAGTAATTACATCTTCTTATTATACCCTCTCCCTTTTTTCCCTAAAGAGTGAACCTATTTTATTAATCGTTATTCTTAGGAAGTTAAAATTTTATTTCTTACCATTTCAGTTGGCTGATGTTTGGTTATGCAGGGTGATACTTTATGCTGGTTGGGGCATATCATTTTGAAGACCAAAAGGAATCCAAAGAACTTTAGGAAAACATCTCAACTCTATGTTCATATATCTAATGAATTTTACAGGATGTTTAGAGTTCTTAATTTGGCTATGATGTTTCTTTTTTCAAAGGGCACAGAGAAGATAGGTACACACTATTCTATGTTCTTTGCAATTTCTTTCCCTTCAGTCCTTTTTTTTAAAAATCAATTCACTCTACAAACTCATGAATGATGAACTTTCATGGAAATAATATGTCCTGCATATACAAATAGTATGTCCTTGCAGACACGTAGAAACCACGATCCATTTCTGCCATTGGAAAGATGATTTCTAGAACAAAATATATACGAAAAAATTGTACAGATTATTTGAAGATTTATGCATATATGCTTTTGAATTTAGTTCTGAATTTATGCTATTCTAATTTTTACGGTTTTGCGCTTGCTCACTAAAAATATCATATTTCTATACAGATATGTCAAAATTACGATCCGCTTATGCCATTGGAAAGATGACTTCTGCAATTACACTATTTAAAAAATTCAGGTTTAGATTCTTTGTAGATTTATATAGATATTCTTTTAAACTCAACTCCAATTTTTAGTCTTTTTGCTTTTCACAGCTTTGTGTATCCTGACTAAGAAAATTATATCTCACTGCAGGCATGCCAAAACCACAATCCGCTTGTGCTTTTAGAAAGAGGACTTCTGGAACTACAATATATACAAAAATAAGGTCTAGATTCTTTGTAGATTACTACTGCTACGCCTTTTGAATTTAGTTCCGAATTTCCGGTATTCTACTTTTCACACATTTGCGCGTCTTGACTAAAAAACCATATATCTCTGTAGATACGTCTAAACCACAATCCGCTTGTGGTTGGAAATATGACTTCTAGAACTACAATATATAAAAAAATCAAGTGCACATTATTTGAATATCTACAAAGATATTTTTTTAACTTCCTATGAATTTCTTCTATTCTGCTTTTCAAAACTTTGCACGCCCTAACTATAAAAATTATGTTTCTCAATAGGGACGTCAATAACGTGTGCCGTTGGAGAAAGGAATTTTGGAACTACAATATACACAAAATTATGGTCCAGATATTTTATAGGTTTGTCTCCTTTCTTTGGTAATAACTATCTTTCTGCATATGTTGAACATTTTGTGGTTGTTTTGTATTCAATGTGATTCAACTATATTTTATACTTTATCAATATCACGATGGGTTACATATCAAGAATCTTTTAATTAATCCATCCATATTTTTTACCATTGTTGTTGAAACTATCATTTTTATTGGTTGAGTTCAACTCAATAATTGTGATGGTGAATTTTCTATCTTTTTCTTAATTAGCCAAAGTGCCTCATTCAAGTTCACAAGTAGTAAAACCTTAATATATATATTTTTGTTTTGCAAGCTACTCTTAAAAGTGTTCAGATATAATTATTTTATACCATGACTCAGTATGCGTCATGGAGAAAGAGTTTTGGTGCCAATACAAGTGGTTTTTCAATTAAGTACTATAAGTTTCGTGTACCAAATATTTCATAAAACCATCAAACTTGGCTTTCCACAAATTGTTCTCTTTAATGTTGTGATAGGGATTGCGCGCAGGTTGTAACCGGGTCAATGGAAGATTCACTTTTGTGCCTTTAGGAGAAACTTTGTTAATAAGTTCCATCCGCATGTGATTGCCATCAGTAATTTAATGAACTATGGAATATCCCCATATTTTTTAGCTTCTCAATGGCATGGCATCACACGCCAAGTGGGAAAGTCTGAACTTCGGTGTGCCTCATATTCCTAGACTAAATATTGAAGAGCCATGGTAATTTCGTGAAATGCCTTACATTAATATTTTTTGGTCAATGACTTATGAGATATCTGACAAAAGACCATTGGTAACTTATAGTTTAATCAATATGCAAGATTTCTTAGTTATACATTTTTTATGTAAAAATCTCCTTCTATCACAATAAAAAGTAAACTGCCTCGTGACCCTCAAAAGCTTACTAATTGGCCTATTCTTTGAATGAAGTGAACGCCAATATTATTCTCATATTTAAGGTATACTCTTTGTCAAAATTTAGCTGAACTATTTTAAATCCATTTCGATTCGTAAATATAGCATTCACCGTTTAGTAAATAATTATTGTATCTCATTATCTGTCAAAGGTTGGAATAGGTCTGACCTTTTACATAGCAAATTAAAGTTTCTTTGAACCACTGATTAGCAATTGTTATTTTAAAGTTTATTTGAATCATTGATTGGCTTCGATATAAAAGGCGGCAATCAAATGAAATTAGTTGAAGCACGGTCATTTTTGAATTACTTCAGCCAACTTCAAGTCAAATGATACTTATAGAAGTTACCCTGACCAAGCAAGTTTACTATGCAAGCACCAAAATGGACTGTGGTCCTTTCTTGCCAATAATTATTCGAGCATAAACGCCCAAACCAGATACAAAAATCTGTAAGTTGTTTAATACATAAGAATTAATTTTTTCGGGAATGAATCTCAGAAACTGAGACAATCAAGGTTGAAATAAAGCATCACACTATTTAAAGGTTTCCAAACCACATAACCACAAGCAGAAGTATCATTTATAACAAAGGTATTAAAACATCCACCTTTAAATTGGCTTATTTACAACAAAGGTATTAAAATTTCCGCCTTTATATTTTTTATACTTCAAAGTAATACAATAGAATGGAAAACCAAGTAAGAAAATAAAATGCAATTAGGGAGAGTTTATGCAGTAATTTCACTGGTGAATACAAACAAAATCCATGTAATATAAACCTGGCAACAATTTTATATAACAACAAAACGAAATTCATCCTTTTGTTTTTGATTTAATTCTTTTGAATATTGTCGCTAAATTTTATGCAATATACATCCAAACATTTTTGATTGACTCATCATTCTCTTTTTTTAAATACTCTGCAGCTTTGGACATGACACTCCCTTTCATAGAATGGAAGAAAGGCTCTATTACTTCATTTTTTTTGTTTCTCGATCCAATTGGTGGCCGCCTTAAGTGAGCCATCGTTCCATAAAAATATATGCTCTTAACTACATCCATCCTTGCATATTTACCTTATTGTCATTCTTCTCTTTCCCCTTTTCGGCTTTCCTTATAATATTAGGGACCTTGAATCTGTTACAATTGATATCTATTAGCTACATTATTGTAAATGATTCAAATGCTCTTTGATGTTTGACGTGTAGGAGTACAATATGATGACTTTAATTTTGCGCATTAGACTGTACTTAGAATGCAACTTAAATTCAACAAATCAAAGAGTAATTGTTCACTTATGATTTTTTTCTTTGTGAGTATAAATTCGTGTTTGAAAAAATGCTTTGTCTTAAGTTTTATTGTTATCATTTACATTACCAACCTACTTAAACCGTGAACTTTTTATATGTTTCTTAGCCATATTTCGATTTAAACTTCATGAGGGGTAAACACATTGAGAACTTTGATCAGTTGAATACCATCTTTGACATCAATTCTTCATCGTAGCGCTCAAAGCAGCCCTTAAAGAGGAGGTGCAATGAGAACAATTTGATCGATATGATGAGTGTCATTGCTATAAATATCGAGAGGATTGTAGATGTGTGGATAGAGCGGAGCCAACGCGTGTGGTTGGTCGAGGTGTTTGTCATGACAAATAAAATTTTCGGGATTCGATGATGATTTAGCAATCGATGCATGTGAGTTTCTTCCTCTCTACGAGAGAATAGCAAAGAAATTAAGCAGAGTTCTTTCGATAAACAGAGTTCGTGCATCTTAATTAAGCTTCATTTGATGAAATAAGATTTGAACCAAATGTGATGTCCGTTATGAATGTACTTGAAACAAAAATTTATGAATTTTCTTGTGGACTATTCCTTTTAAAGCCAAGTACTGATGTAGCATTACTCAAGTATGTTTTAACAGCTCTTGGGAATTGGTGGTCCCTAGAAAAATATTTACACAGACAATCCAATGAAATTTATTTTTTTGTTTTTGGTTTAATTCTTTTTAGTGTGGTCTATAAAATTATTCTACATCTGTTTACGATATCTCTCTCCATATTTTTTGTTTTCTTTTAACCGATCCGCGCATCGGGCGGGTAAGTATACTAGTAAAGTAAAAAAGAAACAGAGATAATGTAAGAGATGAAAGAACTCTTTTCTTTCTTTCACTTCTGTATGTGTATTTTACCCATCGTATTACAATGTTATTTATAAGCCAAAAAAGTGAACTTGCACTCCATCAACAGTTAAAAAAATGGGAGTACTCAAGCTCAAATAGTAAGGAAAATAGGTATCTATAGTAGCATAGACATCCACTCTCTTAAACTATTCACAACAATCTCCCTTGGATGTCCATCTAAATTAGATATGCTTTACTAAGGTTTTATTAAAAAAGTTTCTCTCTCCCTAATACTACCATGAATCCGCAACCCTATGAATCCCAAAACACAATACCACCCAAACCCTCAGATATTGTGCATGAAACACCAACACAAAATGAACTAATGAACAACTCTTCTTTCAAGGAAATGTTAATTGCTTCTGACCCAATGAATTTTGCCCCAAACCTAGGACGGTCTGACATGGATCTGACAAACACTACCGCAGAAGATGAAATGCCCAAGCACTCTTTAATCTCTAGTGCACGAGGCATCAAACAAATCCCTCTAACTGAAGAAGACAGGCAGCATATTTATGAGCCATGGAAATGCTCTATCATCATTAAACTGGTGGGGAAACGCATGTTACACTAGTATTTAAAAAAGAAGATCCAAGAACTTTGGCATCCAACAGAAGATTTTTCACTAATAGACCTTGGAGAATACTACTACATCATCAAATTCAAAAAAAAAAAGGAAAATATGGAGAAAGCCATCCATCAAGGTCCATGGTTCATTAATGGCCATTTCCTTTCTATTTCAAAATGGAAACCAAACATTGTGGCCATAAAGGAAAAACTAACCACCTCAGCAGTATGGATTAGGCTTCTTCATCTGCCAATAGAATTTTATGATACTAAAATTCTAGAAAAATTTGGCAATGCAATTGGACGTTTACTAAAAATTGATGTTTGTACATCAACTACTCTGAGGGGTCGTTATGCAAGAATTTGTGTGGAAATCCCACTAGTAATTCCAGTTCAGCCATTTCTATATGTTGGCCATTATAAACAATATATTCACTACGAAGGAGAAAACTTTCTCTGTAAAAAATGTGGAAGGCTTGGACACACATTGGGACATTGTAGCTATGTGCAAAAATCTATAGATAGCAAAAATCCACCAAAGGACCAAACCACTACAGCGATGGAGAACTCAGAGGAAGAATGGAAAATTGTCTCCTTCAATAAAGGAAGAAAACAAGGAACAAAAAGTTCCCATCAAAACCTCAATAATCCAACCAGCAACTCCAAAGGCCCAGGTTTCTCTGTTAATCTCTTCAATGCTAATACAGGTAAATTCTTGGATACTAAATTATTACAATACAAACCTAAAGAAACCATTAATTATCAACAGCAAATTAGTTCTAAGAACCTGGCCACTATGATTAAAGATCAAACCACCCTGCCTATTAAAAACCACTTCTCTATCCTGGAAAGTGAGCAAACGGTTTCAATGGAAACCACTGATGATTTAATTAACAACAAATTAAAAAAACATTAATAACAATGTATGTGAACACTTGTCCTCTCAAAACAAAGACATAGTCATGATGGATAACAACGTGTCCTCTAAAAAAATTAACGAAAAAGAGGGCAATAAGGCTATGCAAAATAGCACCCAATTGGACAAAATTAACCCTCCTAATAATAATAACCCTACTAACCCTATTAACGAACTTAACCAAAAATCTGGTAATAATCCACAGTTAGCCAAAGGAAATGAATAAAATCTTTCCCCTAGATATGAAAATATACCCACTTATGAGCATGTAAGCCAAATGGCAACACAAACGAATAAAAATGAACAAATGTCCTATATCCTAGAGGACGAAAGGGATACAATATCCATGAAGGATCCCCCTATAAGACAAGATATTAGGCAACCAAAAGCCATGCACTTATCAACACCAATCATTACCCTAACCCCCAATCCCTCCCACACTACCAGTAGCTCCAATCCCACGCCTACAACTACTTTCTTAAATACTCAATCCTCCATTAAAGATGCCAAGACTACCATCC